CGTTTCAAAGCCGAAGAGCCAACACTGTCCGAAGATGTCTCTGTGGTCATGTGGCCGGCATGACTAAATCTCAAAGGTGCACAGAATACTGTTATCTTCTCACCAAAATTGGTCTCTATTTTACTACTTGCATTTTTTAAGTGCTTTCAAACTGCTAGCTTGGCAGAAGCTGGGACAAGTAACAGGAGCTCACTCCGTTATGTGGCGCTAGGGATTTGAACTGCTGAACTGCCGACCTTTCTGATCGACAAGTTCAGTGTCTTAGCCCCTGATCCAACATGTTCCCTTTCGTGTGGATAAAACAGACTTTAATTCCCATATTTTAAAGCACTCCTGATCCAAAGAAGAAAGCAAATTTCTATTGCTAAAGATCCAGAATCAGATGGATTGAATTAATGTGTTGCTTTGTAGCATTTTATACTTGCTGGGGGAAATGCTAATGATACTTTTCAGGGAATGGTCAACCCTGAACACCCCATACACTGGCTCAGTGTTTTCCTGTCCCTACAGTTCAAAAATCAGACCTTACCGATGTAATATTGGAACCATGAAACTGGAATCCCTAAAAGGAAGCAAACAGCTGATCCTTTGTCATCCAGTAGACTCAATAAAAAGGGTGGAATGACTTCAGAGAGGAAAAAACTTGCTTTCCCCCTATTCTTATCTTCAATTTCCAGCAGGCCAATTCGTCTGGCAAACTCAGCATCTCCCTCATCCTTTCACTCACCTTTGCAACTGAACAGTTCATCAAAACAGAGGGTGTGACAGTGGCTTCCCTCACAATGCACCAAAGGCTGAGCCAGAAGAGGAATGACATCACTCGCTTTTTCCTTCTTCCTAAAGAAAGAGAAAATATCAACTGCGCGTGGGACATCCCAGTTTTGAGGGATGCGCCTAATCTAACCAAGAGAAGGATGTGGTCTTCCAGTATTTGAGGAGCTGTCACAAAGAAGACAGGATCAACCTATTCTCGAAAGCTCCTGAGGGCAGGACAAGAGATTTATAGATTAACAAGAGTTGGAAAGGACCTTGTAAGTCATCTGGTCTAACCCCTCAGCCAAGCAGGAGACC